CTTTATTTTTACATTGATTTCCTTGTAAAATCAAATAACTCAATTGTTAATATAAGTGGATCGATTTAATAATTTAATCGTAATCGATTTTATAATTTGTTTAAGTAGTAGGCCTAACACTCATTTTTAGTTTTACTCTATAGATCCTTTGTAATGAATTACTTTAATTATTTAGTTTATGATTTTTTCTTTATGTTAGTTTAATGACGCTATTTAAGACATATTGTCTAAACTTGAATAAAGGGTATTTGATTGATTGATTGATTGGAGTAAGAAGATTCGTTCACTCATCTATTATACAATTAATACAATAATAGCATTCCCCAAAAATTTAAGTTGCCTTTTTTAAAATAAAACTTATTATGATATCTTCTGGCCAAAAGTTTAATTATCGTTCTGATTTTAAAATATTTATTTAACATTGCAAAGTTTAAAGTAAATTATTCACCTACTATAGGAGGGTTTCGAAAAGGGTAATTAACTTCAAAAAATACAAAAGGATTTTTTTATTCTAAAAAAATAAGCAGAAACCAGATTTATTTATCTTAGTAGCAAAAATGCTATACAAATATATAGCACGGGTTACTTTTGTATTAGTCTTACTCTTATCCCATTTAAATACTATAATAATGATAGTATCAATAAACAAATGCATATTAGTTATGTAAAGGAGACTTTGTCCTGACCGCACCAGCCTAACAGATGCGTTGGCCACTGGCAACAAGGTCTACCGGCAGCAACCACGACTACATCCCCTTAACCCGTCACGGAACTGGTTCAGCTCGGACATTTCGCACCACCAATCGTAGGTCAGGTTGGTGGTCGTAGACCTTGTTGGCCGCGGACCTTGGCGCGTCCCCCTGCAAGAAACATGATCAAACAAATATGAATATGGACAGATTGGCTCGTTCTACACAATATAAATACAATTTAACCCTAGGAGTGGCCAATGTTAGATGCGGGGAATGGCCAACCCATTTTGGCGATTTTGCAGACCTCTTTTTGAAAATTCGTAAAAATTCAACTGTACAAGTAAACCTAGCCAACCTCATATTCATTTTGTTTGGAAAGAACAGGAGAATCCAGAAATAGTAATATCATAATGATTTAGACAGTGTATTTTATCGGTAAAGTGAAAAAAAAAAAAAAAAAATGAATTTTTTTTTTGAAATATCAAAAGCGGCCTCGGCATTTTTTTTCTACGGATTTTTTTATGGGAAATTCATTATATACATTTTGTAGACAATCTAATTCCCTACATAGAAATATAATAACATGTTAGGAAAATATTTTTTTTTATAAGTTTTGGGGCGAAATATAATGACAAACGGAGAACCGAAAAAATTGAAAACCGTACAGTGTTAGTTTATGTTGTAAAAAGTTATATAATATATATATGTGTATACTAATAATGATATATACATGTTTGTAAAGCTAATGAAGTAAGGAATCAAAAAAAGTCATAAAGTTTATGGTAAAAATAATTTTTTACCTATAAACATACGTATATAAAATAATGTTTTTATATTTTAGCGATTTCTCGAGAAAAAAAATTCACAGTACTTAGTATACAACTTTTGTACCAATTTTTTTTACTTCAAACCAACATAATAATCTTGTAGTGTATTCAATTACCTACATAAAAATGTATAACATGTTAGAAATGTTTTTTTTGTAGGTACGTAATAGGGACATAACAATACAATAACCGCAAAACCGCAAATAAGTGTAAACTATAGCCTACAGTGTTTGCTTGTGTTGTGAAACATTATGTAGGCTGATGATATGTAGCCTACATATTTGTAAAGCCAATGAAGTAAGGAATCCAAAAAAGTCATAAGTATGATGGTAAAAAGTTATTTTCACCTATGATTATGTATCAATTTGAGAATGTTTTGAATTTTTTGCGCATTTCGAGAAAATGGAGTGTACAGTATTTAGTAGCCTATATAATTTTTTTACCAAATTTTGTACACCCAAACCAATATAAACATGTTGTAGTGTATTCATTTACCTTTATAAAAATGTATAACACCTTGGGTAAATCATTATAAGCACCTCTGAATGTCAGAATCGTCATTTTTGGACATGATGCTAACAAAATACAGTAGTAGGCCTATTTAGTATAGGCTATAACTTTTTTACAAAATTTTTTACCCCCAAACCATTATAAACATGTTGTAGTGTATTCATTTAGGCCTACCTTTATAAAAATGTATAACACCTTGGGTATATCCACAGCCACCTCTAATACAAGGCCGCGACGTTCGAACTGGCAACGCCGCAATCACACCCCCTCTGCGTCCGTCTTCACACGCGCTAGGCTATGAACATCAATGAGAGTATTGCTGCTCTGTATCAATGAATGAAAGTATTTAAATACGTAATAACATATTTTAGTAGATTTTAAGGTATAGTAAAATAGGCAAAATTGTAATCTAGGTTGTTTATTTAGTAAATAATTGCAACATACCGCAATATGTCTAAAACTAAAAATATACAAACATAATGTTTTTGGTTGCATTTATCGTATTGTAAGTACGATGAATGTGGAAATAGATTAACTTTAAATATTTCCTTTGTTAATTTGATAATCTACACTTTTATATAACAATCTCATGGTGTCTGTATATATGTGTGTTATTCAACATAGTAAAAACTACTAGACATACTGTGCTTAAATTTTACAAAATAAAGCTTCTATACCAAGAATGGTTATATAGTAGGACTAACTTATTGCCACTTCAATATTTGTAGAGACTTTGGGATTTGTAGAGACTAACATCTAACAATTTGTTCAAATAAAATTAATTTTTAATTTTTAATAGGAATATTATGTTTTAGTCTAGGTACCTCAGGAAACCATAAGTTAGCGACAACAAAATTTCAAGTTTTCATTTTGAAGGCATACTGACTCAAAATTTATTTTCTTTGAATAATTACTAAGAAAAACGTTTGCCATTTAGTAAACGATTTCAGAAGCTAGGTCTCCATATGGCTTTCCACAATATTAATAGAATTTCTATCACATCAACATTCAGACTGGATTCGGAGACTATGATGCTTTTATTGTTAGATGGTGCAGTAGGCTACATATTTTTTTACTAGTAGGCCTACTTAACAGAAAAACGGCTTATTTCTTTGAAGTGGCATTTATTTAAGTTATTATAATCACTTAACAACAGCATTTATCAATAAGATAGACAAATAAATAAGGAAATAGTACGGTATTACTACCTAAAACTTGCTTCTCACGTCTATATTTATACGCGTCATTGTCTTATTCTTACATTTTTTACAAATTTACCTAATCTAAGCTCATATTCGTGAAAAATTTTTCTTTTTAAGATGTCTAATTTGATCGAAGAATAGCATAAAGCAATTGTTGCTTAAACGCGGTGGATCAAGTAGAATCTTAGAACACTGTATGTATTATTAATTTTTTAATTGAGCTATCGTATTAATTCTTGCATCCAGGCACATCACATCTATCTGGCATGCTGTAGTAAGAAATTTAAAGTCATTACTAATGATTAAAGGTTGTAGAAACACGATTATGTACGTAGAGTACGCGACTCCTCCATTCACTGTAATGGTAAAACGACCGAACGCCAAGACACTGATGCGACGTTGCCGCTTTTCACTCGCCGCGGCCTTGTATTAGAGGTGGCTGTGGTATATCATTATATAGATACAACAATCTCTGAATGTCAGAATCGTCATTTTAGGACATGATGCTAACAAAATACAACCTTTTATGAACACTATTTCACACAATTCAGTAATATTTATGCATGAAGATTACTGTTATACACACACACAACACTTCACTAACACTAACACTACGAACTAATAACATATTTAGTAATAAATCGCGGATAAAACTATTACCGGCAACAACACAAACAAACAATGGCAATACAAGACAGCTGACAGACTGTAGCAGTAATGACTCACTTCCGTCGTCTACATGTGAGCATACAGAAATAACCCTGAGTGCAGGGCTGCCACTCTCTGAATCTAAATTTCTTCCCCTTCAAAATGATATACTATATGACTAGTAATAATAACTTTCACTGTATATAATTCGTATTTTCCATAGGCCTACTGTCACCAGACGACTGTTGGCCATTTGTTAGAAATTTCAAAAACAGCTGTTTTCATAAAATCGTACCGATTGTGCAATCAATATTTAGTTATAAATATCACTACCACAATGAAGATAAAATCAATGGCTATCCCGTGGTACCACCCGCAACATCCAAAGACGAAAATTACCCGAGCAGGGTAATGCCAAACAAGACGTGTTTTGCCAGTTCCCAAGTGTCGGCTGCAAAAGTCGTACCGCGCCAAAATTTCATTTGATTTCTAATCGTCGTGACATTGTTATATACCTGCTACAGGGTTTGTTTATGTAATCAAATGAAAGTTCAGATTGTGATCTTTCGAATGGTATATATATTATTCTCATCTGAGTTGATTGTAAGTGGTTTTTTACCGTTAAAAAAATTTCGGCCCATACCGTAACCAGACGACTTTGGCCATTCTAAGCATCAACGTCATACCGTAACCAGACGACGGTTGGCCATTGCTAGGGTTAAATGGTAAGTTTTAACAAGTTTTTGGGGACGTCGGTTTAACCGGAGAAACCGTTAAGTTATCCGGACTGGCCTCGGTCCTGAGGAGTCCGGATAAGAGGGAGTCTAAGTTGCTGTATTAGGTACCTATTCATTTCATAATTTTTCGTATTAGCTACCCTACTCTAATGATTATCATTTCCTAAGTTAGTAGGGTATTGTTACTTACGGTTGAATAATACGCCTATGTGACACATGCTAAACTTAGGCTAGTTGGTGCTAAATAAAACCACACAAAACTTATAACTGTAAAAACTAGGCCTAGGCCTACCAAAACTACTAAATAACTTGTATCTGGGCATAGGACCTATTTAGGCATACGCTACATTACAGTAAATCAAGGTGTAAGTTACCAGTACTCACCAACTTTGGGAGTCACTCATAAAATCATTGGATAACTTAACTGCAGGATTTCAATTTCTGACATACTAGCCACATGTTTCTGCATTTTGTCAAGGGTTTCTAGATAATACTCTAAAAATGTTAGCCCTTGTGGTACATCAAAACTCGATTGTACTTTATAATAAACTGTCCTTGATTCTTTCCTTATCAGATCAATTTTTTTTTTTAGTTCAGCAAAATTTGTTTCATTTTCACGTGTTTTATCAATAGTGTACACTTGAAGTTTTAACAGAGTGTCAATGAGTAGTGGATGTTTCTTGAACATCAGAGGAGAAATTGTTAATTCCGAATACTCTTGCAATAGCTCCAAGCACGTATCCAGCACTGGCTGATCAACACTCAAACTACTTTTGATGTCTCTATCAATTTTCAGCACTTTCAACTCAGCTTGCAAGTAATTTAAGCCTGGTAGTTTTGAATGATTAATATTGTTGGACGTATGGTTTTCAAGCTCTGCATCCGCCTGAGCAATTGCTTTATTTAACCTAAAATTCTTTTTGGGTCTGCCAAACTTGTTCCTATATTTGGTGTAGGGAAACAAATCTTCTTCTCTGCACTGTGCAATTTGATTTGTTCCATAAAAATATACACTGTACTTAATCTTATTGCTACTGCTACCAATATTTTCGAAAAATTCTACTTTGGCTGGCCAAGCAGGCCAGCCTCTGAGTTTTGCAAAAACTATTTCTTCCAGGGCAAATTTAGGAGAAGCCATGAAAAGCTAGGCCCTAGTCTAATTTAAATGGTATAAATACTGAACTGAACAATATTTTTGAACACTACAGTAAAAGAAAAACTATGTTGTTAAATGCATAATTAGATTAAGAGGTTAGTATATGTGTAGAGGGTGACTTTGACACGAGGAGACACTAACTCAAACTCACTAACACTACCTCTACTCTCTACTCCTCTACTGGGTCTGGTCTGAGTCTGAGCTGAGACCGTCGTGAAGTTAGCGGCTCTTTTCATCGACGCTTTTTCGGATTATAATAGATATGGGTTGGTACGCCTGCGGGCGCCATGAACGTGTTTTGCAGGGATGTCGGAAACGCAATTCAATGACAATACGGTGCGAAATGACGTTTTTACATTTATATAATGCCAATTACACCTTTATAAAACGTGTATACACGTTGAAAGTAATTAATTGGCGTATTTTAAAAGGCATATGTGAGACCGTACTGTACATTATACGTAGCTATGGCTTAACATAACGCGATCAATTAAAACTCCGAACATAAAAAAGTGTATAATCTTTTTCCTAAGCCCATCACACCAACTTTGAGCTATTCTAATGGTAATATACAATGTGTAGAATACTCAGTATAAATATGATTGAAGCAGTCCAGTAAATTACGAAGCTATAAGGCAAAATCTATATGGTTGATAGGAATGTGCGTCAGGAAAAAGTGCACAATCTTTTTCCTAAGTCCATCACATCAACTTTGATGTATTCTAATGGTAGTACACAATGTGTAGAATAATCAGTATGAGTATGATTGAGGAAGTCCCCTAAATTACGAAGTTATATGGCAAAATGTATATGGTGGATAGGAACTTGTATCAGGAAAAAGTGCACAATCTTTTTCCTAAGTCCATCAAATCAACTTTGATGTATTGTAATGGTAATGTACAATGTGTAGAATACTCAGTATAAATATGATTAAGGCAGTACAGTAAATTACGAAGCTATAAGGCAAAATCTATATGGCTGATAGGAATTTGCGTCAGGAAAAAGTGCACACTCTTTTTCCTAAGCCCATCACATCAATTTTGAAGTATTCTAATGGTAATATACAATGTGTAGAATAATCAGTATAAGTATGATTGAGGAAGTCCCCTAAATTACGAAGTTATATGGCAAAATGTATATGGTGGATAGGAACTTGTATCAGGAAAAAGTGCACAATGTTGACCCTAAGCCCATCACATCAAATATGAGGTATTCTAATGGTCATATACAATGTGTAGAATACTCAGTATAAATATGATTGAGGCAGTCCAGTAAATTTCGAAGCTATAATGCAAAATCTATATGGTTGATAGAAATTTGCGTCAGGAAAAAAAACTAGGTTGTAAAAGTGCCTTTCCATTTATGGTTGTCTCTATGTATTGGCCGAAAGGGGCTATATTGATGTGATGGACTTAGGAAAAAGATTGTGCACTTTTTCCTGATGCGAGTTCCTATCAACCATATAGATTTTGCCTTATAGCTTCGTAATTTACTAGACTGCCTCAATCATATTTATACTGAGTATTCTACACATTGTATATTACCATTAGAATACGGTACATCAAAGTTTATGTGATGGGCTTAGGAAAAAGATTGTGCACTTTTTCCTGATGCGACGAGTTCCTATCAACCATATAGATTTTGCCTTATAGCTTCGTAATTTACTGGACTGCCTCAATCATACTCATACTGATTATTCTACACATTGTATACTACCATTAGAATACCTCAAAGTTGATGTGATGGGCTTAGGAAAAAGATTGTGCATTTTTCCTTATGCGAGTTCCCTATCAGCCATATACATTTTGCCATATAACTTCGTGAATTGGGGGACTGCCTCAATCATACTCATACTGATTATTCTACACATTGTATACGTATACTACCATTAGAATACCTCAAAGTTGATGTGATGGGCTTAGTAAAAAGATTGTGCACTTTTTCCTGATGCGAGTTCCTATCAACCATATACATTTTGCCATATAACCTGGTAATTTATTGGACTGCCTCAATCATATACTCATACTGATTATTATACACATTGTATACTACCATTAGAATACCTCAAAGTTGATGTGATGGGCTTAGGAAAAAGATTGTGCACTTTTTCCTGATGCGAGTTCCTATCAACCATACACATTTTGCCATATAACTTCATAATTTAGGGGACTGCCTCAATCATACTCATAATGATTATAATACACATTGTATATTTCCATTAGAATACATCAAAGTTGATGTGATGGACTTAGGAAAAAGATTGTGCACATTTTTTCCTTGTGCGAGTTCCCTATCAACCATATACATTTTGCCATATAACTTCGTGATTTGGGGGCTGCCTCAATCATACTCATACTGGTTATTCTACACATTGTATACTACCATTAGAATACCTCAAAGTTGATGTGATGGGCTTAGGAAAAAGATTGTGCACTTTTTCCTTGTGCGAGTTCCCTATCAACCATATATACATTTTGCCATATAACTTCGTGATTTGGGGGCTGCCTCAATCATACTCATACTGGTTATTCTACACATTGTATATTTCCATTAGAATACATCAAAGTTGATGTGATGGACTTAGGAAAAAGATTGTGCACTTTTTCCTGATGCGACGAGTTTCTATCAACCATATAGATTTTGCCTTAGCGTCGTAATTTACTGGACTGCCTCAATCATACTCATACTGATTATTCTACACATTGTATATTTCCATTAGAATACATCAAAGTTGATGTGATGGGCTTAGGAAAAAGATTGTGCACTTTTTCCTTGTGCGAGTTCCCTATCAACCATATACATTTTGCCATATAACTTCGTGATTTGGGGGCTGCCTCAATCATACTCATACTGGTTATTCTACACATTGTATATTTCCATTAGAATACATCAAAGTTGACGTGATGGACTTAGGAAAAAGATTGTGCACTTTTTCCTGATGCGACGAGTTCCTATCAACCATATAGATTTTGCCTTATAGCTTCGTAATTTACTGGACTGCCTCAATCACACTCATACTGATTATTCTACACATTGTATACTACCATTAGAATACCTCAAAGTTGATGTGATGGGCTTAGGAAAAAGATTGTGCACTTTTTCCGTATGCGAGTTCCCTATCAACCATATACATTTTGCCATATAACTTCGTGGACCCTTTGTGACAGTTAGGTTAATGTATCTGCAATACTAAAATGCCATAGGAAGGGAGGGAAACATGTTTACGACGTAGGAAGTGGTGGTGGAAGTAGTTGAGGCCAGCAGTCCGGAGTGTGATGACCCTATGTGACAGTTAGGTTAATGTACCTGCAATACTAAAATGCCATAGGAAGGGTGGGAAACATGTGTTTACGACTTAGGAAGTGGTGGTGGAAGTAGTTGGGGCCAGCAGTCCGGAGTGTGATGACCCTATGTGACAGTTAGGTTAATGTATCTGCAATACTAAAATGCCATAGGAAGGGAGGGAAACATGTTTACGACGTAGGAAGTGGTGGTGGAAGTAGTTGAGGCCAGCAGTCCGGAGTGTGGTGACCCTCTGTGACAGTTAGGTAATGTACCTGCAATACTAAAATGCCATAGGAAGGGAGGGAAACATGTTTACGACGTAGGAAGTGGTGGTGGAATTAGTTGAGTCGGGCAGTCCGGAGTGTGGGAACCCTTCATTGTTAGATAAACATATATTGGATTTTTAATCATTTTTAGATGATATAATTACGATATCGTTTTAAATCATCATTGTAAGCCATACGGTATTTTTAGGAGATTCCTTACATCGTGCTTTGGCAATTAGGTTAAGTTAGATTAGTTCAGTTCGGCTTAGTTTTGTTTATGATGGGGAAATATGGAAATAGGCTTCATTTAATTAAAAGACATGTTGTACAGGTACGATGGATTTACCTCCTATCGATAACTGTTGGAAATCTATTACGTATATTACCAATGACTTTGGTTAATTAATAGATGAGAAGTTAGGATTGTTGTTGACTAAGATTTGGTTGATTTGCCCATACAAATAACATTGTGTTCACCAGTGACACCGGTAAGTAGGCTAGGTGTGGGTGGACTCTTTCATTACTGCGCTCATGTTCACTCATCCCGTTACGCGCAGAATAAGCGTACTACCGAGTATGTTTAATCTATGGTACTACTAGTATTTATACTGAGTATTCTACACATTGTATATTACCATTGGAATAGCTCAAAGTTGGTGTGATGGGCTTAGGAAAAAGATTATATACTTTTTTAATTTCGGAGTTTTAATTGATCGCGTTATGTTAAGCCATAGCTACGTGTAATGTACAGTACGGTCTCAAATATGCCTTTTAAAATACGCCAATTAATTAGTTTTAACGTGTATACACGTTTTATCAAGGTGTAATTGACATTATATAAATGTAAAAACATCATTTCGCACCGTATTGTCGTTGAATTGATTTCCGACATCCCTGCAAAACACGTTCGTGGCGCCCGCAGGCGTACCAACCCATATCTATTATAATCCGAAAAAGCGCCGATGAAAAGAGCCGCTAACTTCACGACGGTGGTCTACCCTAGTACTGTAGGCCTACTTTACTTACTTTAACTTTACTAAATTTTTACTGCTCTGCTAGCTCAACAATGGATGTAAAACCATAACCCTCACTATTGTGACTTAATTTCTTTCCATATTTTACACTTCAAATCGTAAGTAAACTTTCTCTCTCTCTCACTATTTAGAGTACTACATAAGTATTTTATTAAGAATTTGTAAATTTGTAAGAATTAAATTTTACAACATGAACATGTAGGCCTAACTTACTTCTAACTTTATTAGTATAAGCACAGAAAACATACTAGGTTATAGTAATATGTTTTCTGTGGTATAAGGCCTATTGATTGCTAGGTTAAAACTCTTATGCCTAAACAGTGTTGTTAACATGTAATTGGCTTTAAAAAAAAACCAAACCAAACTCTATATCATTCAGTTTAAATTGCTCTGTTTTGGCAGGGTAAATACCTAATCATAGCAACTTATTTTATCATAGCCTAAGTTAAATTACTGAAAACTGCATAGGGTAAGTTTAAGTAAAGTTATTGTTACCTTAGGCCTATCCAATTATGAAACCGAAAATCTAGATAATTTGGAACATCTAAAA